GCGCCCACGAATGCCCCGGCGGGCGCCATGGCGCCCGCGGGCACCGCGTTGGGGACCACGGCTGTACCACAAAGGGAAACCATTTCCTATATAGTTTCAGGCACAGGTGGAGTGCACAATTGCAAGGTCCAGGACCTTTCACTCTCTGTCTAATTGAAAGTCTTCGAGGAGGAACGCTGGGGAAGCCTGACAAATGGTAGCAGTCATCCGAGGTGAGGAGACCATGCAGATGATGGACACACGGATGACAGGGTCTTCTACAGGCAAGTTGGAAACACTGTACCTGAAATAATGCTGTTGTGGCTAGGCCTCTTCTTCCTCTGTATCACTATGGGAACGATGACATTCTTCTTGGACACGCTGGAACAGCAAGAAGACCCGACTGCACACACTGTCACTCAAATGCATGCCTTATATAGCCTCTCTGGCAGGAAAAGTGCTGAGGTGAGAAATGTTAGGTGTTCGCTCTGGTGGGAAAAATCAGTACTGTCCCACTAGTGTGTATCCAGTTTTTTCGTTGTTTACGGGCAAGATGATAACGTGGAGTCCAGAAGTCAGAAGTCATAGACTCCATGTTGGATCCATAAAAAACAGTGATTTACTTCAGAACCGTATACAAATTTAAAATTAAGTACCAATATTACCTACTATATATTTAAGAGTTTGTCTGTCTGTCCATTTGTTCAAGAACTCCTCCTAAACAGTAAGACCTAGGATCGTCAAATTTAGTATGCCGCTTCCACTTATGATAATTTAAAGCAAGGTAAGGGTTTGGTTGTGCCAGGAAAATGGGATGAGGCTGGAATGCTTTTCATAAAATGGAAAGGGAGGGCTGTGCTTTATAATGATCACATGGGGGCAGTAGGGGATAGGGATGGAAAGCAGGGACAGTTATACTGTATAATGACCATAGGGGGACAGCAAGGGGCCAGAGATGCAATTTGGGACAACTATAACCCCATTGGTACAGCAGGGGACGGGGTGGAGAAAAGGACAGCTATGTACTATATATTTCAGAGAGTTTGTCTATTTGTGTGTCTGTCTTCATCTCC